CTAAAATGATTGGTCCACAATCAATCCTATATCCATACAATAATTAGTTAGAATACAATAACCTAAGCATATATATATATATATATATATATATATATATATATATATATATATATATATATATATATATATATATATATATATATATATATATATAGGGCTAGGTTATAATGTGGATGGACACCTATTGTGCGGACGTGTGGACAACAATATTTTATGAGAATTACTAAAAGAAGAGGTCGTTTGCTAATGTGAATACGTTCAACCTTACACAACTATGGTCATTTTCATGCATTCTCAGTAATTCTTATTCAATTTTGTTCTTACACATCATTTTTTACTCATTTTTATTTTTACAGAATACGACTCAAAAAACATTCTGACAACATTCTGATAGAATGAGAATAATAAAAAAAATCTATAATAACTTATAGACGATTTAATTAGTGAGAATACGTGATAATGACAATAGATATGTAATATTGAACGTATTCATATTACCAAACAACATATTTTCTTTGTTATTCTCACAGAATAACACTGTCTACACGTCGACACAATAGATGTCAATCCACATTTGAACCAAGCTCTCTTTCTCTCTCTCTTTCTCTCTCTCTCTCTCTCTCTCTCTCTCTCTATATATATATATATATATATATATATATATATATATATATATATATATATATATATATATATATATATATATATATATATATATATATATAATGTAAGGCCCCCATTTAAAATTGGGCTAGGATCTTCATAAGATGAAGCTTAGGGGCACAAATTATCATTCCTCTACAATTAATATGTCTCTTCTTACAACTAATATTATTGCGTCATTCCATTTGTAAAAACTTGCATGCTAAGGAATAGATAAAATGTAAAAGCCATTTTTAGGATCCTCTCAGTTGAAGACTTCAAAATATCAAAGAAAAGGTTTTGGGGTAAACCTCATGCCACTGCGTGGTAGGTTGATGACCACGACGTGGCCATAACACTTAAATGTAGGACACGTCTGGATGGTCACCACGGCGTGGTGAGATGGTGACCACGAGGTGGTGCTCGGTTCATTCCAAGCCCATAAGATTAGGGTTTTGCGTCAGCTCATCTACTAAAGGTTGTAGAAAAAACATCTATATTTTTTCTGGGACTCTTCTTCCCAGGAATGAGCAAAGGAATTTGCATGTACTCATGTTTGAAAGGAAACCAAGGAGGTAGGTTGTAAACCGTAATAAAAACGACCAACATGAATATGCGCTCCCGTATGAACTATCTGGACAAAACCCATCGGTACACAAACATAGACGAATATTGCGTGTATCTTGTGTAAAAGCAGGAAACACTATATCAAAATGAATCCACGCCTTTCCTTTATTAGGATGTGTTATTTTTTCATGATTTATTGGATGATCTGAGTGCCAAGTCATATTGTGGGCCATTTTCTTTGAATAGAACAATCTTTGAAGTCTTGGTCCAATCGACATGTAGGTCATCACTAAATTAGGCACCTTGTTAGAATTCTTCTTGTATCTACTTTCCTTACATACAACACAATCATCCATATCAGAAAACTGGCCAACTAATAGTATGCAATGGTTGATACATACAAGAATCCGTTGTGACAACATCTCTAGTGACTTCAATGTCGTAACTCCTGCTTCCTGGTACGCATTTATTCATAATTTATTTATTTTTGATGAGCTACTCGACGAGTTGGGAGCCCCAGACTCGTCGAGTAGAAACAAGATTGGACGTGGGTTTTAAGCCATCTACTCGACGAGTTGAGACCTTCAACTCGACGAGTAGGTCTGCCAGAATGAAACCCTAATTTCGGGGTTTTGCACCCTATTTAAGCATCTTAATCTCCATCTATTAGCATCATTTCCAGCCTCCAAGTCCCAAACCCTAATCCATTTTGAGAGCTTGTGGGCCATTTTGAGTGAATCTTGGGTGTTTTGAAGCTTGTGAAGAAGAGAAGAAGCTTGGAGTTTCATTAGGAAGCTAGTAGATCCAAAAGCAACATCTCATCCTCCTCATTTTTTGGTAATCAAGTCTCAACCTTGCTTAGTAGCTTGTTAGATCTCTTCTTTGTCACTTTATTGGGTTTTTGGGTCCAAGAAGGTTGACCCTTGGGATATGGACGTCCCAAGCAAGGATCCCTTCAGATCTGGAATCATTAAGGGTTGTTATGGCATAAAGGTGCAAACTTTATGCCATTGGAACCCCCATGCAAGCTCTAAGGTGTTATTTTGGCCTTTTTAGCCCGAAAAGGCCATGCATGAAAGGAAAGTTAGGAGCTTTACGTGTCCAAATGAGGTCTAAGGACTAGATCTATGTTAGTATGCTTTAGTTTGGAGTATTATGACTTTTGGACCAAGATCTATGTTCTAGAGAGCTAGGGTTTGAGCTAAACCCTTTAAGAAGGACAAATAATGGGTAAAGTTGGAAAATTTACCCTGAAAAGAGTGTTTCCAGTAAGTAGATGATATATAGGGTTTGGATTTGAAGGATAGGAGCTTAATTCATTGTGATGGCTCAAACAGACAGAGGAACTCGGCGAGTCCATAGAAGAACTCGACGAGTTGAATCGTGTTGTCCCGATTCTGTGCCAGATAGAACTCGATGAGTCGGGGGGATGACTCGGCGAGTTGAATCGCAACTTCCATGATTTTTGTGTTATAGGAATCGACGATTTGATAGGTCCACTCGGCGAGTTGAGTCAACCAGAATGTTGACTTTGACCAGAATGATGACTTTGACCAGGGGTAAAATGGTCATTTTACCCTTAGAAGGATTATCAGTTTTTGACTAAGTGATTATTATGATAATGATATCCGGGGAGTCGTTGGAGTAGCTATTAGAGATTCCTCACACGAGATTTCAGCATCCAGCTTGAGAGGTGAGTTTTCCTCCAGTAGGAACGGGTCTAAGGTACCAAGGCCGGCCTGTTTATGTATGTTAGTATGTTCCGGATTAAGTTCCGAAGTCGGGCGGGGTCTGATATAGGCTTATATGTTTTCCAGATTTCGACTCTGATGCCGAGACGGTACCCGAAGGATGTTAGTATGCTTGACGTCTTTGTGATTCTTGCATGTGAATGTATTTGTATGTTTCCGGACTACGGTCCGATGCCGGGGTGGTTCCCGAGGAATGTTTGTATGTTTCTGAATTTCGGTTCAATGCCGGACGGGGCCCGAGGAATGTTTATATGTCTATAGTTAAGTGGTTATGCTTATGTTATGTGTGTTAGTAGTTTATGATCATATGTATGCCGAGCGGCTCCCGATGCCAGATGCGGTCTGATGCCGGGCGGGGCCCGATGCCGGACAAGCCGATGTCGGGTAGTGCCCGATGTAGTACGGCGGGGACCAATGTATGATATATGTGATTATGTGTATGGTACAAGGTTGCAGAAATCGGGATTAATCGTGGATTAATCGCTTGGCGTTCTACAACCGATTAGGATTAGGGGTCCTTGGCGTTAATTGGTCAATTTCGGTCAACGACGGGCTTGGCGGTCTTGGCGCTCTTGGCGGTCAACGAAAGTCAAAATAAGTCAAAGGTCAAAGTTCGGTCAAAATTAAAAAAAAAGGCTCCAAAAAAGTTCCAAAAAGCTCGTCTAACCCTAAAATCGTCATATTCATCAGCCGTTTTTGTGCTCTCTCTCAAAAATTGAAGCGACGCAAGCCTACCCCGACGATACAACTGATGCCGACGCCCACCGTACTCCGACAAACCTCCAGTGGCCACCGGTGAACCTCCAGGGACAGCGGCGTTCGTATTTCAGGTTAGCAATTTCTCTTAACCCGAGTTCGTCTTTCTCCCCAAAAAAAAGTCGAGTTCTTGTTTGTTCATTGAAAGTCCACTTCCGATAATGTTATACAATTGATTTGTTCTTTCGTTTTAGAATGTTGTTTAGAATTGATTTCATTTGTTAATTCTTCAAAGTTGAAACAATATTCGAATTTGTAAACAGTGGCCGGCCATGTGGGTTTATGTAGCACATGTAAAAGCCAATATTCATGGCTTCCTTTTTTCTGTTAAACACGAGACACAAGTGTATGCCATAAATTTCCTTTTTTTTATTATTTTCTTAGTAATTTATTATAAATATATTAGAAACAAGGTTTGTGTTGTGTTGGAATATAATTTGAATCTGTCATTTGGAAAGATAACAAAGGACTAATATGTTAACTGTTGATGTGCTGAATATAGTTTCCATAGTTTCCACTAACTTACAAAGAAAGAAAATATATTCTCAAAGATGCCTACATGCTTCTTCAAGATTACAGCTAAAAATTAGCTTGACATTTTTGCTGTGATAGTTTGATGTCTGCTGAAAATTTATGATTTATGTTGTATATTTCTGATGTATTTTTTTGGTATGTATAACAGTGTTCAATCATGACATCTAAAAATTCGACTTCACCATCGGTGGGATCAACCGCCATCGGTTCTCATAAACGGAACTCAGATGATATTGGTTGGGAATATGGTTTTTGCCCGGATAAAAACAAGATGGATACAGTGAAATGTAACTTGTGTGGAAAAGTGTTTACCGGGGGGGGGGGGGGGGGTTACCAGATTGAAACAACATATTGGTCATGTGACGGGAAATGTAAGTCGATGTCCAAACTCTACAAAAGATGATCAATTGAAAATGCGAAATTTTTTCAATGAAGGGAAAATAAAAAAGAAAGCTAAACACGCACATGACGAGGCCTTAAGAGCGGAGGCAACACAAGTGTTAAATGATAGTGTTGAAATGGATGAAGTAGAAGATTCTTTGGGGTTGAAAGCACCAAATATTATAGGACCCATGGATGGCTATGCAAACAAAATAAACCCCGAAATTATGGAGGGGAAGGGAAAAAAAAGTTGATCTTAACGATGTTGTTCGGAAAGAAAGAATTTTAGGGTGTCATAAATTCATTAGTAGGTGGGCTTATAAAACTGCAATTCCTTTTCATGCATTGGAAGATGATAGCTTCAAAATGATGTTGGAGGTTGTTGGACAATTTGGAACAGGGCTCCCACCTCCTACCAGGTATTCTTTGAGTGACCCACTCCTAAAGCATGAGGTTGAAAGAACAAAAAGCTTGTTGAAAAAAAACGAAGAAGAATGGAAAGAGATTGGATGCTCGATCATGACGGATGCTTGGTCCGATAGAAAGAGAAGGAGCATTATGAATTTATGTGTAAATTCAAAAATGGATACCGTTTTTTTATCATCAAAAGAATGTTCCAATGAAGCACATACAAGCCAATACATATATGATTATGTGGAATCTTGTATTCAACAAGTTGGTCCCGATCATGTTGTTCAAGTTGTGACCGATAATGCCACGAATAACATGGGAGCTGCAAAGTTACTACAAGAGAAAAGACCAACTATTTTTTGGACATCATGTGCGACACACACAATTAACCTTATGCTCGAAGGTATTTATATTTTTTTTATTACATTATTTACCAATTTAGTTTTTATCATCTTTTATTTTATACTATAATTCATTAATTGTTTATGTAATATTTTTTTTTCAAGGTATCGGTGGACTTCCAAGGTTTAAGAAAGTATTAGATCAAGCAAAGAAATTAACCATCTTCATTTATGCTCACCACAAAACCTTGGCAATGATGAGAAACCACACCAAGAAAAGGGAAATTATCCGACCGGGAGTCACGAGATTTGCTTCCGCCTTTCTAACATTACAAAGTTTATCCGAAAAGAAGGAGCAACTAAAAAATATGTTCTCTAGTAACGAGTGGGAGGAATGCAAATTTTCCGGTACCCCTAAAGGAAGAGCCTCATATGGAACGGTGACAAGTCTCCAATTTTGGGCCGGTGTGACACAATGTTTAAAAGTGTTTTCCCCTTTGGTGAAAGTCCTTCGAATGGTTGATGCGGATTGGAAGCCCTCAATGGGTCTTGTTTACGGTGAGCTTAAAGTAGCAAAAGAAGAAATTATGAAAGCTTTGGGTGGCAACGAGAAAGCTTACAAGCCTATTATAGATATCATAAACAACAAGATGAAAGGTAGGCTAGATTCAAAGTTACATTTGACGGCTTATCTTTTGAATCCTTATTACCATTATAATGATTCCCAAATCCAACATGATCCCGACGTAATGGATGCGGTTCTTGAATTTTTTGATACATTACTTTTTGGGGATTTTGAGATGCAAAGACAAGTCGTGATGATTGATTTGCCAAAATACAAGGAAAAGGTTGATAGATTTGGAGCGGATCTTGCAATTAAAGGTTGTATAGTGAACAATCCCGACTTTGATCCGGGTAATACGCTTTATGTTTATTTTAATAATTTATGAAATAATAGAATTTTATATATATCAATTTAATAATGTTTTTTTCTTTAATATTATAGCAAGATGGTGGGGACTTTTTGGCGGCTCAACTCCTCATTTGAAAAAGATTGCAATGAGGATTCTTTCTTTAACTAGTAGCTCATCGGGTTGTGAAAGAAATTGGAGCACGTTTGAAGCGGTTAGTTATAAAGTTGTAATATTTAAATATCAAGAATGTTTTTAACCTTTTGATATGTGTAATTTTATAGGTACATACGAAGAAACGAAATAGATTGGAGACAAATAGATTGAACAATCTTGTTTATGTTCAATTCAATGCTAATCTAATGGAAAAAAACAAAAAGAGAAAAGATAGGACTTTGGAAGTGCTTTTAGCAAATGATTCTCACTCGGCTCAAGAGTGGATTATAGATGGAGATGACGGTGATGGAGATGAAGTTGACCCCGAATCAGTTATGGAAGCGATTGATGAAGCTCTCAAGACTAATGATAATCAAGTACCCCGTAAAAGTTCAACAACAAGAGAACTTTATGATGAAGATTTCGAATCCGAGAATGAGGAGCAAGTGTTTGAAGAAGATGAATATGAGTCAGATGGAGTTAAAATAGCGGAAGAACTTGAAGATTAGAAGAATATGGACATTTAAATGTATGAAAATGTGTGTTTTTATTATTATTAAACTTATTTTAGACTTGTAATATGATGGATTATGACTTCAATGTTTAAATACTAGTTATGACTTTTTGTATGGTTATTTGCTTATTTTATGACTTTTTGTATGGTTATTTGCTTATTTTATATTAATAATTAATGGTCCCCGATTAATCTCCGTCGAGACCGATTAATCCCTTAATCCCAGTCGACCGCCAAACTACCGTCGAACGATTTCTGCAACCTTGGTATGGTATGTGGTAGTTTGGGGAGACTCACTAAGCTTCATGCTTACAGTTTTCAGTTTTGGTTTCAGGTACTTCCGCTAGTAAGGAGAAGAGCTTGGGATGATTGCATGACACACACCACACTTTTTAGCCTGGGAGGATTCACTCTGATGTTTTGACCTATGATTTTGATACACTGACAGATGTTATGATATTTTCGAGATATACGATTTATGTCTTTTATATGATGGATGATATTTATGGTTTTTATTAATGATTAAAAATGAAAATTTTGGCTATATTTTTGGGATGTTTCAAGTTGGTATCAAGCCTTGGTTTGAGCGATTCGGGCACACTCTCGGGTTTTTCTGAACTAAAACTGAGGACTTGGTATGAAAATTTTCAAAAGAAAATCATTTTTATCAAAAGAACTTTAAAAAGAGAAAATAATTTTGAAAAGAGAAAAGGGTGTAGTGCATGCAATCAGCCGAGCTCAAGTAAGTACTCCCAAATTATCCATACACGTTTATGTTATGATATGAGAACTGCATGCTATATTAGGGCTAAGGATCTAGGAAGGATGCCTTATGTGCATGTTATATGTATATCAACTTTATGGACTGCATGCTAGTACAGATTAGTCAGTGTTATGATGGTCTGATTAGAATATGCTTGATTATGTGTACTCAATGCTCGAATGCTGCTTGCTTTTCGCTTTTAGGAGTTCTAGTTATCTTTAACCAACTAGTAAACGGATATGTTATGTTACATATTGCGAGGACAAAATAATTTCAGAAGGTTAGGTCTATCTCTATTTCGCAGCTCTTGTTTGAGTCCAACTGTTGTAGGGTAGGACCTCTCATTCGAAGAATTATCTAGTCTTAGTGATATGTAATGGTATTCGCGAGCTAGTTAGAGGGAGGTAGCAGGGACTTCTTATGCAACTGATGACGGAGAGTGGGTTGGTGATTACCCTAGGGCAAGCCTTGGATGAGTTTAGCATGAGAACAACAATAGCAGTAGAAGGGACTTGGTGGAGTCAATGCAGTTCTTGAGGAAAGTACGGATAAATGTGGAAGTTAATATGGGCCCGTACTACTGAAAGCAGAGGATTCGTACTCGAATCAAGGAAGGTTGAGATGAATCCAGGAAACTTGTAGTATATGAGATCCCTCGAGTTATGATGAGTATTCTGATGTTTGTTATGGTGTATTTTCAGTTTGGTGACGCTACGCACTAGGCCAGTTGGCACTTCAGGCACTGGTGAGGGATCAGGTTCGGGCTCTGGAGTCGGGCAGCTAGATGACCAGATGAGGGAGTTCATCTCATCTGAGATCACGAGCAACATTATAGACCAGACTCCCGTGATCTTTGGTACGAACAAGGAGGGTATCATGGAGCTGTTGGATGAGAGACTGAGTGCATTCCACACCGAGGTAGCGGCCATGATGGGGTCACACACACTAACATTCAGGGAGTTCCGAGCTTGCGGAGCTCCAGACTACCATGAGGCTCGGGACCCTATTGCCAGCAGCAGATGGTTGGCTGATGTCGCTAACACGTTCTGTATGAGCCGATGTCCCGAGGGGGACAAGGTCCAACTTGCGTCCTGTCTTCTGAAGGACAGGGCACGTGACTTGTGGGAGGAGGTTGGACGAGCCATTGGAGATGATGCAGTTCTAGATGCGATGACCTGGAGTGATTTTTCGGCCAGGTTCAGGGCCGAGTTTGCACCTGTGATTGATGTGTAACAGCTTGCCAGGGAGTTCCAGGATCTCGAACATATGACTGAGACAGTGGCGGAGATCACCGCCAAGTTTAGGGAGAGGGCCCTTCTCGTTCTGCAGTACGTGGCAGACGAGGAGATGAAAAAGGCCCGATATTATGAGATGTTGTGGAGTGATATCCGTCAGTTTGTGAGCCGATCCAGCTGCAAGACGCTGGAGGATATGATTGCTAGGGCTCGGGAGAGGGAGCTGGATTTGGAGATGGAGAGGAAGAGGAAACCAGATAGGGTTCAGACAGGTAGCTCGGGCAAGAAGCCCAAGGTATCAGATCATAGATCGAGGAGCCAGCAGGGCCGCAGCCGGTGTCGCAAGTGCGGCAAGATGTACGAGGGGGCGTGCAGGGTGGGGAGTTCGCGCTGCTTCAAGTGCGACCGAACAGGTAACATGAGCAGGGATTGTACAGCTACCACCACCACCACAATAGTTTCAGATCTGATTTGCTTTCAGTGTAATTAGAGGGGCCACAAAAAGGCCCAGTGTCCGGGTTTAGCAGCAGCAGGACAGGTGGCGGCACCCGCTCCTGCCACGTTGAGGATTACAGATGGCCGTCAGTGCCGGGCAGAGGCGCCTACGGCGAGGAGCATGGCTTTTCAGCTTACTGTAGAGAAGGCACGTGCGGCTCATTATGTTGTGACGGGTATGTATTCTCTCCTTATCTCTTTATTTGTATCGATTGTCGCTTATGTTTACTTGTTTCATTATAAGATCGTTCTTAGTGAACAGTATATCAGCCCTGGTATTGTTCGATTCGGGGGCCACCCGATCTTTTATGTCGCTTGCACTTAGCAGGCGATTTGTTGGAGCTCCAGGGGAGCTAGATTGTCCTCTGGATGTAGAGATAGCAGATGTTATGTGTGTTAGTAGTTTATTCTCATATGTATGCTGAACTGTGCTCGATGTCGGGCGGGGCCCAAAGCCAGATGTGGTATGATGCTGGGCGGGGCCGATGCCAGACAAGCCGATGTCGGGCAGTGCCCGATGTATTGGGGTGGGGCCCAATGTATGATATATATGATTATGTGTATGGTGTGTGGTAGTTTAGGGAGACTCACTAAGCTTCGTGCTTACAGTTTTCAGTTTTGATTTCATGTACTTCTGCTAGTAAGGGGAAGAGCTCGGGATGACTGCATGACACACACCACAGTTTTTAGCCTGGGAGGATTCCCTCTGATGTTTTGACCTATGATTTTGATACACTGACAGATGTTATGATATTTTCGAGATATACGATTTATGTCTTTTATATGATGGATGATATTTATGGTTTTTATTAATGATTAAAAATGAAATTGTTGGGCTATATTTTTGGGATGTTTCAAACGTTTTCTTAGTCTTGTAGAAGTTTCTAAGTATCTTTGCGTGATCAGGTAAACAGTCTTTCAATATTGAAAGTAGTTTATCAAATGTCGAGTCTGAAACATTGCACTATAATTTCCAATTTAACAATCTTGAGGTGGCGGATAGTGAAGAAGCTTTTCTACACCCATCCCAGAAAGTATCGGGTATTTGATTTGGGTTTTGTGGTGCTTGCTGGTAATAAAGGGCATGAATCTGTTGCATTCTTTCTGTAAACATTTCATTGTATCCTGTATATACACCAACATCAGCATAATCCTCTTAACCCACATCTTGAGACAGTACAACGGTTGAACATTGACCCACGTCTTATGTTGGATATAACTCACCATGTGAAAACCATTGATAATAGTTGGGCATGAATCCATTTTGACATATATCAAATTCAACCATCTATCTCGACTTGTAAATTCGATTTTTGCAAAGTATATACGGACATCTAATTTCGGAAACCACCAACCCATTTCTTAGAGTTCTATATTTGACGACTATAGCATTGTTAAATGCATAAGCGAAGAATTGCTTGACATAACATTGAAATTCTGGATCAAAAATCTGATTTTTATTTACTCTCATCGTGTACATCCATTCTCTATTTGTCGCCATTATCGATATATAATTCTAAGATATTACAAACGTTAGAATGTTACAAATTAACAAATTTGTCTTGAAATTTATGAGGTAACATATATCAATGGTAAGATACAATGAGTTAACTTAATTTGTCCCATTTTTTTTATTACCTATTTGTGTTCAAAGTTATGTTAGAAAAGGAATGTAAATGCCAAAAAATGAACAAAATAAACAATCCATCAATAAATTACAACTTTTAATTACTCCTGGTTTGCATGTCTTCTAAATAAAGCATTTAATTACTATTGATGTGTATATAAAGAAATAGTTATAGGTAGTGGATGTTTCTTCCAACTCTAGTTTTCTTTTATAGAAATGGATAGAAAATTTGATTTATTAATTATGAAAATGATAGATTTTACAAGAAAGAGTTATTAATTGTGAAAATGATTGATTTCTTATGTTAGTTTGTATATCTAGAGTTGTGAATTGAAATTATCATTTATTAATTCTATAAGAAAGATTTCTATTAATCATCACAAAATTTTATCAAAATAATTGTTACATACATATACCATCCACACACAATGATACATTGACATACATACATACTTATTGATACATTTTGATACATACATACATACATACATACTGATAGATTTGATAAACAGATAGAGATGAAACTATTTGATAAACATATAGAAATTGATAGAGGTGGTATCAAGCAACTATCCTGAAGTCACCGGCGGCGGTAGCAAGTGTTGGTATAGAAGTATCCGGAGTCGGCAATGGAGACAACGCCGATGTGAAGCGGGTGTGCTGGTGGTGTGTCGCAGCAACGGTGGGGAGAACCGACGATGTGGAGCGGTTGTGATGGTGGTGTATCGCAGCAAGGGTAATGTGGTGGGGCAAATTGCCGGTGGCTAGATGTTGTTTGGCAAGTCATCGCCCATGGTCTGGGGAGAGCGGTACATGTTTTTCATCCGAATGTAAAAAGCGGCTAGGTTAAACGATAGCAAGGGTTTATGATTTTG